ATAATGTTTCATAGTTGTTAAGTTTTAATAAGACGGATATTGAGAATGAGAACATAGTTAGAGTAGAAAAGTTCAATACTAATAACAGAAAGTGGATACATAAAATATTTTTTTTAACTTTTAAATTTGAAATTATAAGAAAAATAATAGATTTAATTAAAATAATATAATATAATTAATATATATATATATATATATATATATATATATATTAATACTAGTATTTTTAACTCATATACTATATAAAAGTATTTTATTAAAAATACAAATTTTTAAAAAATTATTTTAATGAATTAAATATTTATAGTGTATATAAATTTAAAAAGAAAAAATTTGAATAAAAGATAAATGATCACAATAAAATTTTATAATAAAGAAATATACGTGTATATTAAAAAAATTATACTTTTTTATCTGAAAAAAATTAACAAATAAAAATTAACAATAATTTTTTTATTTATATCTTTTCAAAAACTTTTTTGAACGTGAATAAATAGTAAGAATAATATTATTTAGATTCAATAGATTATAGTTGTGTTTGTAATACATATGTTGCATAGAAAAATATTATTTTAAATTAAAATATAAAAAATAAATAATAAGTTTACGATAATAGTAGGTGATTGTAAAATTTATAAAATATTTATAATATATTTATTATTTATCATTCACTTTATGATTTAAACATCAATATAATTTTGTTAACAAAAATATTTTGTGTGTCATATATAAATAATATTTTAAAAAGTTAATCTCATATTAATTATGTAATAATTAAATTATATTAGCATAATTAAATGATATAAAATAGTAAATAAATTTTTTTATTAAAAATATAAACCAAAATAAATTTTTTGATTTACTTTATTATTAAATATATTTTTATATTAATCTTATATAACTTCACATAAGTAATATAATAATACAAAAATTCAATACATAATTGTAAAATAAAGTTCAAGCATATATATATATGCGGGTATGGGATAGGGTGGATACTTAGATACTCATACTTGTACCCATCTCCATTAAAATTTGTGAGTTTTTAACCACACTCATACCGGTACCTATATAACGGGTAAATATGTTACTCATTGTGGATAAATTTTACGGGTGTCCATTAGATACTTTATCCATTACCATCCCTAGTTTATCACACTTACCAAACTAATAAATTAGAATGTTTATTGTGATATATGTAAATTTGAAAAAAAAATTATATTTTCTTTAAATTAATGATTATCTTTTTTTAATATTTTAAAAATTAAAAGTTATTAATATATTTTTTAATTAAATTATTAATTTCATTATTTATTAATATAAAATTAATAGTTAAAATTATTATGTATAAAAAAGGTTATCAAACTACAATCAATTAAAACTCAGACACATATTGCCTTATAATTAGATACTCAAAGTACCTATGAAAAATATAGACAAACAAATGATAATTCATCAACAACTAAAAAGTAATTTTATATTGAATATAAATTTCCCTCATGTTCGCTAAAATTACATGTATGTCCACCCTTTTTTTCCGAAAATAATAAGCCCCCCCTCAAAAAGACAAGAAAAGCTAGATTGTTGATGTCATCTACATTTTAGCGCAAGTAGAAACTACCCCTTTCATGGGAACTCCGTGCGTGAAATCTATTATCGGAATGAAATGAAAACCAAGTGGACATGGAAATTCGCAGGTAAAACGTTGTCTTCTATGCTCGTACGCATTAGTTCTACTGCGAGCCAATTTTTATGTTTCCATTTCCATGTTCATTTAGATATCATGGCTCTTAAATTCCTAAGACAAATTCTAATGACTGACATTGATTAAAGAATCAAACATACAAAGTATTTACTAAACAATTTTATTAGCAAGATTTTAAACTAAAATGATTAAAAAAATTTATTAATTTATCACGAGTAAGAACAATGGGAAAAGGGTATCTAGATCGGGAGGAGAAGAAAGACAGAGAAGGAAAATGTGCGACACAGCACAATGATCATGACATAGAAAGGGTAAAAGAACAACTTTAACCCTGGGCTGGTCCCTGGTTTAATTTCCCGATCGGGTGGCAGAGAAAAACCGTTGAGGAGTAAATGCGTAAAACCATGGAGAAGAAAATAAAAAACGAAAAGAATTATAGCTGAATGATGAAAAATATACAAAAAATTTGTACAAGAATTATAAGCCACGATTTGAGATATTCGAAGTCAACAAAGAGCGCATGCCATCTCCAACTTACCCATCTTCGTCAATATCTTTAATTGCTGTTCATGCAACTAATCTCGAAAAGACTGTCAGAAGCAAAATCGATAGGCGATGGCAATAATTTTGGGCCGTAAAACTCCAAAGATTTCTTTTGCAATTTACATAATTCACGTCAGAAAATAAGTGATTTTAGCTATCAAATTAACTTTAAATTTTAATGACATTTGACATGATTAGTTTCGGTGAGTGCATGTCAATATCTATAATATTGATAGATGAAGATAGACAGACAGTATAAAATTTTTTAGAATTTTAATAAAGTCAGTTTTTACCATAAGTGTCTAGTGAATCGGATAAATTAATAAATTTAATAATTTAAATTAAAAAATGATCCAAATTGATATTTAATAATTTTAATTTGATTTAAACTGATTAATATGATTTGATTTGAATAACGAGTTAACATATAAGTTAATTGATAGACTCTATAACGTATCCAATTAATTTATTGATTTATATTGACCTTTTTTTAAAAAAAAAAATTATATGCAATAAAGTGTATTTTAAATTGAAACTTATTTTAAATTTGTATAATTATATTAAAATTATATGTTAAAAATTATTTGAATAAAAAATTAATATTTTTTTTTATATTTTATATTTTAAATTATTTAATCAAATAATCTGATAATCCAAACTGAGTCAATTTATTTGTATTTAGTTTAGATTAATTTAAATTTTGAAATTTTTTTATATAAATTCAAACTAAACCAAACTAATTTATTTTAATTGGTTTATATTATATTTTTTTAAAATTCAAACTAAATCGAACTGTAAACACTTCTTATTAATAATAATAAAATTTTATTAAATAAATAATTATTATATTTTTATAATTTTAATATAATAATTATATATTTTTTATAAAAAAAATTTATTTATAAATACTTAAACTCAACTTAAAAAATTAAATATAACAGCACTCAAAATTTTACATTACGTTTAATAATATATTTTAGTCTTATAAATAAATAATAATAATAATAATGAAACATATATGATTGGAACTCTGCTACTATTGGCGTGTCCGTGTTTAATTGGGAACATGACACAACCGACCATAAGACGTTCAGATTTTCCATCTAAATTGGTATAGGCTGCAAGTGTTTACCTGTGAGTTGAGGATTTCACGGTCAACTTTGACACCCCACCGCAATTTTTCCTACTATTGAATAATTCTAAATCATTCGTTTCAAAACATTAGACAAAGTCCTTAAATGCAATTAATTTTAAAGAAATATAATTATATTCTTTTTCATTTAATTATATTTTGTCCTGAGACTCGTTTAGCAGATATATAAAAATATATGGAATTTTTTTTAAAATTACTTAAAGTAAATTAATATTCATATTTTTCAGAAAGATTGTATACTTAAAATAAAAAAGATGAAAGTTTATTTTATACATCTTTTTCAAAAATTTACTCTAAAAATTTAAATATATGAATGGACTTTTTTTTTCTTTTGTTTTGTGAGATTTTTTTTCCTTCTTTTATTTTTTTTACTCAGTTTTGCTTTTAACTACCCCAATTGTTTCTTCTTCTTCTTTTTTATCCACTCACTAAATTTTCTTTAACTATGTTGTTTTTTTTTCCTTTTCTAAGATTTCTTAAAATTATTGTTGAGTTTGATTTATGGTAGAAATACCGCTATTGGTATCTTTCTTTGTTAGTTTAGTACAAATCTTTATTGATTGGAGTGTTAAAAAAAAGGACAACGACTCAAGTGTAGACAAAATTTCTTACTTGGAGGGAATGGTTTGTTATGACCATAAGTTTGTTTTCTTTTACTTGTTTTGAGCAAGACTATTCTAATATATAGTTGTACATTGAAGCATTGTTGTTTCAGTTTTTGAGAATTTTAAAAATGTTATTGGACTGTCTATGAATGGATAATCTTGTATATTTAACGAAAATAAAAAATATTGACTATAATTTTAACACATCGTAACAAAGTGTGCAAGTTAAATCTCATGTATACTTCATTTCCCTTTTTAATTTCCATTCTCTACACTTAATTGTCTCAAAAAATTAATTATGAGTCTCTTCTTAAATTTTAAAAAAATATTATCAGTCCAATTCAATATGTTCGGGATTGAATTTGATCCTTATAAGCTTTCGGTTTTAATCTCCATTCGTGATACAATGGGCTCGATCAATGTGTGTGTGTGTGTTAAATTTGATTTATTAAATAATTATTGCATAAATGATTAATGGTAGAAATACCGAGTCGCTTCCCCCTCAGACCAATGGCAATGATATTTTTTTATACTATTATAATTAAATACATAAAATGATTACTGGGAATTAAACAAATATTTAATGATTGGCGCTTGCGGATCACAAAAAGAATGCCTTTTCTTGCCGTGATTTCTGTTGGGTGTCAGGAGCACAATACTGAAGTTGGGCATAATCCAGTGCTGCTATATTAGATTCATCAGATTCTGAGAAGTCCTAAACAATCCGTGGAGCATGTTTTATTTCTTTTTAATTTGGTCATCAACTTCCAAACCCAAAATCAGTGACATAGTAATTACACAATTGAAGGTCAGAACTACCCCCACCGTCATCAAACAGCACGACAAATAGATTAAAAAAAAAGGATCAAAAGCATGAGTTATTGAGAGAGAACGTACAGATAGGGAAACAACTAGTATGAACAGTAACATCTTACATTACAGCTAGCTAGCATGGTTCCTTGCGTTAATTAATCTAATCTAAAACCTTGATATATCATTGCTGATCCAATCTCATGAGAATGGCAGATTTAAGAGCCTCTTCGCTTCTCATTCCATTAGGAAGCTTAACGACAACATCTTGAAGCATGAGGTCATTAACAGAGGACATGCTAGCATGATGAACCTGAAACTCCAAGTCTCTCAATGCACCCATTAACCTCGCACCTGGGTGGTTCACATTCTCCGATTGAACCCTAACCATGGCATCACCACCAACCATCTTCACATCAATCTCAAGAGCAAAGCCATGAGGCCCTCTTTGATCCACAACGGTTGAAGTACTTTGATTATCCATGCCATCACCCATTTCCATCTTCACCTTCTTCCCACTCTCCCTCTCCAATTCTTCAATCTTCGCTTTCAACTCGTTGATGTAAGCCACTGCATCTGATAACAACGAAGCCTTGTCCATCCTCGAAACGTTCGGAACCACCGCTCTTAAAGCGTAGAATCGATGGTTCAACTTTTCTCTTCTCTGCCTCTCTGCTTCCACGTGGTTCATTGGGGTGTCGCGTCCAAGAACCGGTTTTCTCCCTCTCTTTTTCGGCTCTCTTTGTTCTGTTGAGCTTGGTAACAACGTTGGACAATCCGAATCAGAATGTTCGGAATCCACGTAAGAAGAGCCCAAGGGCAGTTTACTGAAGCGCGAGGGGAAATTGTCGTTTTTGGTGATTTTGATGGGTTCTGTTTGGGTTTCTTTTCTCTTTTTGTTTTCTGGGATTCCGGTGATGATGCCGATGTCGGAGAAGGAGATGCTGTGGTCGTCAAAGATTTGGATTGGGTTGTTCTTGTCGAGAGGGACGAGATCTGGGGTAGATTGGAAGAGGGATTTAACGTGTTGAACGAGGGTCCAGTTTTGCTTGATTGTGTCGTAGGAACCCATTTCGACGACGCCGTTTTGCGTGGGGATGCATACTAACGTTTGGATTCCGTGCGCGTGTGCTTCGTTGGATCTCTCGCAGCTGTAGAATTGAAGCTCGTGCTTGCCGTTGAGCCAAAGCACGGAGCCTAAAGTGAAGGCCTTGCCAGGGAGAGAAGAAGAAGAGGAAGAAGAATTGGTAATGGAGAAAGTGCGGGTCAACGACATGACGTAGAACCACTCAGCGTCGTTGTCGTTTATGATGGGTTTCATGATTTTCTTGCGTTCTGTGGATAATACTTTTGGGGAAGTTTCTCTGGTGCCTTGGAAATGGCCTTCTCCGAAGGATAAAATGAGGTTGTTATTGTCGTCGTTTGTTGTCTGCCAGAAAATGGCATAGACCCACCAATCAGGTTGGCCTTGGAGTAAAAATTGAAGCTTTTGCTGAAGGGCTGGCGTTATTGATGTTGGGTTTTGTTGAGGCAAAGAGGATGATGAAGAAGTAGAAATGATCAAGTCCTCCATGTATGTTGTGGTGAGAAGAAACAAGAGTGTGTTTGGACCAACGAGGTTGGAAAAAGTTAGAATGAATTGAACAAAGGGATGGGCATTAATAGAATAAAGAGGGGTTTTTAATGTTGTAAGGATAAACAGTCCTTTTAGCGTAAGGGAACAGTGTCGATGCGTCCATTAACAATTGGGGAAAAAGAAAATGGGTTTTGTAAAAAGGGTTGGGATTTTGTAGAGATGGGTTTGGGTTTTAAGGGGAAGGAGTAGTGCTTCAGTTGGGTGGGGCAAAAGTGTTAAAATTGGCGAGAAATGAGAATAGAGAGATGCAGTGAGTGTTGTCTTGGGCAACAGAAGCACGTGAAATGAAAGGGAGAGGTGCAATGACGCATCACGCATGGACAACATAACAGATTAACAGTACAAAGTGCTACGTAACGTGGGGTACGCCTATGACTCGTTTCCTTCACAATTGGAATCAATTCATGGAATTTTGTGGCATTGTCAGAAATATTACCCAAAATATTAAGTTTTATTTTAATTATTTAAAAGTATTCAAATTTTATTAAAAACTGACCTTAGCAAAATTGACCAAAACAAAATAATAAATAATAAAAAATTACTGCTCCCTTTGGCTTATTAACTGTCTTCTTAAGTTGTTGTAATTTTAAGACTTTTCAGTACTGAAGTACCAAGGCCATATAAAAACAAATTCAGCAAAGTAATTGATCCCCGAGAGAGCATTTACTGTATTTAAACGTTATAAATGATTCCATATGATATGAGGGGACAGATGACACATTAAGAAACCCTGCGACTTCAAACATACTAATATGATCGACACTAAAAAAGCAAGATGAGGATGTGTCAACAACATTGATTAGATAGTTCATAGATAATTCTTTATTAAAAATTATAATAAGTGTATTAATTAGACTTTTTTACTAACAAAAGTTTGCTTTTTATTCTTTAATTCTTAACTAGTACTATCTTAAGAATATTTATTAATATTCTCTAAAAAGAAATCGTATAATATTTTTCAAACAAAAAATAGAATAATATTATAATTTACTGACACAATCTACAAAAATCTATACTATAATTAAAAATAATTAACTTTTTTTTATAATAATCATTCTCTTTTAAAAACTAACTCAGAAGTTTGTTTAAGCTTTTATGAAGAATATTTAAACTTAATTTTTAGTTAATGTAAGAGAATTTAACAGACATAGGAGTGTGATTTAGCTGTACATTTTTACGATGAAGCAAGAACCTTTACAGTGCTTAGTTACACATCTGAAACTAATCTTTTTGATTAAGAAACTTCTAAGACCACGTCAGACAAAATCTTTCCAAAATTATTGAGGTAATGCTGTCGTGTCTTCATTTGTTTCCTCTCCCTGTTCGATGGAGAATTTCGATCAACATGAAAGTACGATAACATATGAAATTTGAAGGGACGAATTTAAATAAACGAAAAAATATGTTCACTTCGCCATCACTGACGAATCCTGATTAATTTAATATATTGCTATGCTTTATTTAATTTATCTAACGTTATAATATTTGTAAACGTGAATAACGAGAGTGAAAACTTGTCTGTATTATTATAAAAATGATGCCCACTCAGCATATTTTATGCTTGCTTATTTCTTTAGTGGATCATACTATAAAATTTCGAGTGTTTTTTTAACCATATTGCTGTTGTTTGCGGCTTGATTACTCCTTATTTAGTAATTACAGATATGATATTGAATCAATTTTCTATTTTTAATGTGTGCCGTAACTATTTATGTATAAATTATATATGCCTTCATCTCAACGTTGCGTTTTAATCACGTGCCTTTAAGGGGGGATAACTTAAGCTAATTGTTAATTCATAATATAGAGACGCAATTCCTACAGTTACAGTACTATTTTTTTATTAGTTCTTATTGTTTCGTTTAATGTTTAATTTGTAATGTAATATTTTAAAATCCTTTCGGCTTGGGTTGATGATTGATTTCACCAAAAATATATTGTTAAATAAATTGAAACATTCAAAACGTGCCCAGGACCACAAGCATCTCAGAGGAATATTCACAATAACTGTTTACTTACCCGATAACTGCTTTGAATCGGGTCGCTATATTACGAGCCCGTTCATTTTGATGGGCCAGCTTTTATTAGAGGCTTGACAAAAATACTTATTTTGTAAATACATGTGCAGGCCCGTATTACAAAAAGAATAATATTTATTTTTTTCACGTACCCCAAACCAGAACCAACGAGGCTTGTTGTCACTTTTAGTTGTGATAAATTAAAGATTGAGAATGAGCTACGTTAGTCTAACTTTTACAACTATGTTTAGTTGTTTTGGGTTCTGGTGTGTTCGTGCAAGTTGGTAATAACATTTTCCTAACACTATTTTTAGATGTACAATAATTTTCTTGAACATGATTGAAAGCTGTTAGCTTATATTGCATCTTGTATGGTTATTTTGTAGACCAATAAAAATAGGAGAGATTTGAAAAATAAGGACTATCTTTTTTTTCAGTTCTAGTTTCCATAAATAATTTTAAAAAATCAAATTATTTTCATTTTGTAAACTATTTGAATAGGAAATTATGAAAATAATTTGAAACTTTATACCTTTTTATATTAAAAAAAATTGTTTTTCTCAAGAAAAACAAAAATCTCAAATCGCCTAATAGCATCCCCACCCCGCGCGCATGCCAAAACTAAAAACAGGAAATAGGCCTAAACCTATCCTTTATTCAAATGGATCGCTTACCAGTTGCAGCGCCCATTATTTTTTTTTCCCACCATGGCCGAAGGAAAAATACACGACCAGAAAAAAATACTTTTACGAAGGATAAATTCAAAATATTTAGATTTATTTTATCTGAAAAAAATATTTAGATTGTTTTTTGGGGTCATTTTAAAAAATATTTAAATAAAGAGGAAGGTTAATAACACATTCTCTAATACACTATATACTATTGACTAAAATTTATTAAAAATTAAAAATGTATAAGAGAAAAACATTAATTTTTTTTTAAAAAATAATCGGACTTATGTGGTATTTATAAATTTTAATAAATTTTAACTAATAATAGGATATATGTTACAAAGTGTGTTATTAAGATTCCTTACTGATGAAGTTGTCAATGTTAAATAAATAATATTGGCTCGATTGTGCTACCCGTTATAAAGTTTTGGGTCACCACTAGTATTTGGGACGGGCCTGAATGACGCAATTTTTGTCCAGAGTACACAAGAATTTTTATCCAAAGATTTAATGGGCCCTAGAGGTTCCTCCACCCATAGCAAGCAATGTAAAATAAAATAGTGTTACACTATAATAACGGTCTTGCCCATTGGGAACTTAAATAGCGATGAGAGAGCAACGACCATTTCTAGCCACAACAAATTTTCGTGATTCTTTTATGCGAAACTCAATATGTTCTCTATTTATTTGACGTTAAGTATCGCCGAAGGTTTTCTTTCTAAGAAACATTATTTAGCATCTTATTTTCACTTATGATGCAATTCTTAGTTTGGAGCCCTTTGATACAGTGTTTCAACATGGGGAAAAGAAAAAGAAAATAAAGATACAGTCTTTTTTTAATTATTTTGTTGCTTCATTTTTCTTTCATGGTAGGAAAAGAAGAGAATGTGTATAAATGAATGTGCTAGCAAGTAAGTTCAGGGAATGTTGAATCAATTATATGTAAAATTCTTGTTCCTTGGGCCTATTTTATAAATGACATGTTTCTATGGGTCTGATCCCATGAATATTCATCAATTTTGTCAAATTTGAAGCAATTTGTATGCAAAATGGCCTTTTACTGTCATTATCAGGGAATTAAGTTTATTACTCGTGAGAAGAATAACTAGAAGTCTTTAACATTGTGTAAGATTTTTTTTTTTTACTTTTGGCCCATGAGAATTTGTGTAAATGCCACATTTCACAACTTTAAAACTCTAATAGGGTGTATATACTTAGTAACTAACTAGTTATCATAGGTAAATAGAAATAGAAAGAAAGAAAATAAAATGATAAATGTGATGAAGAAAAAGGAGAAAGATAGATATGGTTGCAAGATAGGTAAAGAAAATAAAAATCGTACTTATTTTCACAATGGTATAGGTGAAAGGTACTATCTACAGTTTTACATTGTGAAGACTCTGAATAATGTTAGCGTCAGCAAACAAGGATGTAAACAGATCCTGTTAATTCAGATAAACACACTCTACTATTTGTCCAGTGCTACTATATGCTAAACTTGTTAAAAGTTAAAAACATTTGATGTACTTAGCCAAATTGCAATAAAGTGAACCAATCACAGTATCTTATAGTGGCTGCTTTTGTTTGTTATCGTGATTGAAAATTCTACATGAGAAATTCCTGTCTGCAGCCTCCATCACAACAAAAAGGGGATAACTTCATTTCTGCTATCTGATGATGGTCCCCCATTTGCCTCAAACAAGAGCCTATTAACGTTTCCAGAACCATTGGTGGCACATGTACACAAATAAATAAATAAATAAAATTGGTCTATAAAGTTTCACTTTGACCAATAAAAGCATGCTATTACTGTGATTATGTGCAAATAATCACTCATACCAGTATTAGCCAGGTTCAAAGCTCAACTATGTGCCACACCACAGGAGCACTCATCTTCTGTGAGGTGGAAGGAAAGTTTGAGGATCTTGTTCTTGTTTGGATTGGCGTCCAATCACGTTTGTTTACATAATATTAATAAATTCTGCAGTGTAATTTTTTTGGCATATTTATTTTTTAAAACCATTTTGGTTGAGTAGAATTATTTTTAAACATGAGACTTTATTTTGGTCCTATCAAAAACATTATTTTACAAAATTTTGACACATGACAGTCTCTTAATTAATTGCATCATTATTAAGAATCAAAAGTGATAAATTTCAAAAAATTAAAACTAAATCAAACAAAAAAGTTAAAAAGAAAAAAGAAAATCAAAATCTTACAAAAATTTAAAAATAAAAAATATAAGTTTAAGATAACTTTCTTGTTATTTATATATATATTTTTTAGGGGGAGGGGAAGTTATAACTGAGAGAGATGGAAGCGCCACTGCTGGAGTAGGAAAAGGGTAAGATGGCCGTGTATAAAATTGAAACTAGTGAGGTCTACATCACACCAATGTTAATTGAATTCCAATGTGATTGGCTCAAATAATGTTATTCCATCACCGGATTTGACTTTTTATATAAAGCAAAAGTGCACCAGAAAATATTAATATAGTTTAGTGAATAAAATGTAGTTACAATTGATAATTATAACATTAATAATCAAATTATGATAACATATATAG